ATATATAACATGTGTTCAATTTTTGTGTAATATTTTTTTGGTTGATCTACTTATATAAGAAATGATCTATGTTTATCCTACCCTTAATCTAAGTAATAAATTAAACCGATGGACCAATAAACAAGCTAAATAGATATTATCTATTCTCAACCAAATTGAATAAACATTAGACAATTAGATCATTAGACAACTAGACTATTAGACAATTAGACAATTGAATTTTTGATTAAACTATGTCTATTCACAACCTTGATATAAAGATGTCAAAAAACTTAGGATATAGTTAACTATGATTAGAAAAAAGATGCATATGTCAAGATAATAGAATTTTTCTACTTGAGGTATGGTATGATGAAAATTCAGAAATAGTTATTTCTGAAAGAATACAGAAAATTGAAGATTTCATTAATCAAGCATTTAAAGTTTTCGATCTATAATCAATTTATACTATAATTTAATATATATGTTTTTAATATTTATATCTTATAATGCATATATAATTTTGGTTTTCATTACTTTATCTATTGGCATCTGTTAACTTTAACACATAATTTACATTTCAGCATAAAAAATACATAAGACCTAAAGCCTTCAATAATTCTTGCAAAATAATCTGAATTTCTATTTTATTTATTTTTCACAAAATTTTGCTTAATACATTCAACTAAAATGCTGTTATATGTAGATGAAAAATACATAATCTAATTCTATAAATTATGATTTTAGAACCCATTATGAATTATAGAACTTAATAATATACTGTCTTCCTTAGGTGTTATTAAATCAACACAACACAATAATATAATAAATTATCTCTATCATTTTCATACCTGTTACTATATATATCTAACTCTTTTTCCTATTAGAGTAATATTAATTTTAAGTGTTTTAGATTTTTCTGCCTTTAATGGAATCCTCAGCAATTTAGGATAAAATTTTCATTTGTTTCTATAACTTTCTCTATTAAAAAGATTTTTTATATACTGACCATCTTTACAAATGACCTGCTTCAGGTAATTGATTAAATTGAATACATTCTCAATATCTGTTTCTATACAATTTAATTGCAAGTTAAAATATTTGATATCTTGATCATAAATATATATAATGCAATTTGATTTGTAATTGTATAGTGGTCTTAATACTCCAAGGCATATATGAGCATTATTGACTAAAGCAACATATACTCGGACCTTAGATATTTCTGATTCTAAAATAATATATGTTGAAAGTATACAATTTAGGGTATAGACAGCCTCAGCAACTACCGCTTCAAAATCTTTATGAATCCATACACCATCAACTTCAAATTCCAATATAAAAAAAAAGTAATACTTCTTTGTGTTAAGGAAAATAGCAACATATGCAAAATCTGATCTGGACGATTCCTTTTTACTGTTACCAAGTATTTGATAATGAAGTTCCTATGTTGGCTCAAAAGAGTCAATGTTAAGAGTAAATACATCTAATAATATTTTTGCCTATAATTGTGCTTTGTAATAATTTTCAGATAGAGAGGCACTAGATCGAACTGGTGAAAGCACAAATAATAAAACTAATGTTAATACAGACAAAGCTGTTAGTACATCAATAATAAAGTTTGTAGATCCTGAACCCAACCAATGTTGTATTCTATTTATAATACTTGACTTCGTTGTTCTAATTTTTCCTTCATTTATTATTCCATTCAAGGCTAAAATAGTATTTAACAATTTTTTATGCTGTGTACTCTTTAATACTTCTATTAAAAAACCAAAATTTATAGCCAGTTTATGAAGATCTGAATAGTGTATTTGATTTGGTGTTGAAAAAAATTTACTGTCTATGACCGACTATATAAGTAATCTACAAAGATATCTTTCACGCTAAGACTCTTTATCAAGATGATGATTCTTTAATTGCTTTAATATTTTACAATATTCTTCCAAATTTGAAAAAGCCTTTATATTTACAAAAACATACTAGACATCATTATTATTTGCTTCTTTATTGGTTTGTTTATAGATTTTTGAATTATTTTTTGGTAATTGTTGTCCCATTTTAATTTATATATTTTAAAGGAAATCAGAAACTTAAACAATATTCTTGTTCATAAATTTAGTTACATGCTAACCTTTTTCAGAAAAGTTGATAGTAGTTCTTTATTCTTGTAAGCTTGCTTGCATCCACTTACTGAATCAGGCATTGAATTATTATTTGTTTGTTTTGTAGAAACATATTCTTTGGATCGAATGGGAAATTCATTTTTGATGTTATGAAGAATACAAAATAAATATATAGTTCTTTGATCTTCAATAAAATGCGCATTTATACTTCTGTTTGTTTTCTTTTCTTTGATGGTATACAACTTATAGTTCTATCATTTAAAGTCACAATATTTCCAGAGAATGTCGAATTATGAATATTAACTGAGAGACCAGAACTTATAGTTCTATTATTTAAAGTCATAATGTTTCCAGAGAATGTCGAATTGTAAATATTAACTGAGGGACCAGAACTTATAGTTCTAGCATTTAAAGTTGCAATATTTCAGAGTTTCTAAAGAATGTCAAATTGTATATATTAACTAAGGGATCAGAACTTATAGTTCTATCATTTAAAGTCGCAATATTTCTAGAGTTTCTGAAGAATGTCGAATTGTAAATATTAACTGAGAGACCAAAACTTATAGTTCTAGCATTTAAAGTCGTGAGTTTCCGGAGAATATTGAATTGTATATATTAACTGAGGAACCAGAACTTATAGTTCTATCATTTAAAATTGCAATATTTCTAGAGTTTCTGGAGAATGTCAAATTGTAAATATTAACTAAGGGACCAGAACTTATCCCTTAAATTGTAACACAGGCAAATTTGCCTGCGAAGATTTTTACTAATTTTTTTAATATTTAAATTTTTT